CAATTGGATGGGGAAGTTGTAGGCACTGGGGAAGTTCTTGTCAGTTCGTGTTTGCCCCCGCGTTGCTGTGCCACGTACCCAATGATGAGAACAGCGCCCATGGGGTCCTTCCGGATCCTGGGTCCGAAGAGCTTGTTCTGGAAGTTGATGTCCTCAGGCTTCTCGTCCTTGGCGAAGCGCTTCAGGTTCTTCTGCATGAAGACGATGTCGTTCACACACCAGTAGAACTCGGTGAGGTAGGTCTCATAGCGCGACTTGCCGATGTCCTTCTTGCATGCTTCGATGATGAGCTGCTTGTTATCGTGCAGACTATATTATCAGTAGGATCCATTGACACGCAAACTGGATACTTACGCCCAGTAGAGCTTCCTCAGTTGCGCAATGCGGTACTCCAGGGGACGGGTCTTGTGCGAGAGGAAGCTTGCGCGGATCTCATCGCCGGCGCTGGCGATGGTCTCGAGCGGCGTGTTCTCAAATGGAGGGAGCTGCGACATGTTGGGCGTGTCGATACTCAGATGAAGAGGGTGGTAAAGGGACGCAGTTCAAGAGTCGTCGAGCTCAGGAGCTCCTTAACGTCGCATGTCAGCAATCTTCACGCGCTGCCGGCCTGCCTCGGCCCATACTGGCCCCGCTTTCGGTCCGCACCTTGTTGGGACTAGTGCCAGATTAGCGAGTCGGCTCCACTTGCTCGACTCTAGATCACCACCACCATCACACCATCACCATGGGAGTTGTTAACGCGCAGGGTCATACAAGCTATTGCGCAGGGTCATACGCCTGCCCACCAATCAACAAGTCCTGTTCAGCCTCTGCGCCACTCTTTTTGCACCTTTCTCGCACACTCTCTTGCCTCGCAGAAAGTCGTTTTTCGAGCAAACTTTTAGGTTAGGGTTAGGGGTTAGGGTTAGCTATAGGATTAGGGCTGGAGAACACCCAGAAAAACGTAGGGTTAGGGTAGGGTTAGGGGTGAAGGGTGAGTGTTGTGCGTGTGTGGTGTGGCGTATAACCCTGCGCAATAGCTTGTATGACCCTGCGCGTTAACATCTCCCCATCACCATCCTCATCAACCACATATGAAGAACTTTGAATTGCAGTCAACATGGCGCCATCTTCCGAAGCGGTGAGCTAACGGCTAACTATATTCATTACCTTGTCCAGTAATACTACTGTCCGCGCAAGAAGAGAATCAACAAATAGAGCTTCGGAGGAGATAAAACAACAGGAGTTTCCAAAGCTGGAGTCAAGGAAATTGTCTCGTCGCGACGCAATAGCATCTCACTGCTCAGTCGGTGCCTCAATATGTCCCACAACAAAAGTACAACGTAACAAAATGGTATCTTGCGTATCCACTACACCATGCCGTTATCCGGGGACTGTCGAACCAAACTTGTGCTGATGGGGACCTGCGCGTCCAGGTACGGATCACCGAAGAGGGGCGCAGGCCGGGTCGATGCACCAAACGTATGAGCGTACCCGGAAGCATCACTGTTCCCAAACACCCTCTCACTCTGCCTTGGCAGTAAGTCGACCGAAGACTGCGCGTTAGGAGCTTCTCCGTCTCTGGTTGACTGCTACGGGTTGATTCACGAAGGCTTCGGTGCCGTTGGCTCTTCGTGCCTGTCGTTGCTCAAAGTCTCGCGAAGCAGCTTTCAGGTCCTCGATTTGCTCCTATCACTTTCAGTCATGCCTCAGAGCTGCACCTGTCTCACTCAAGATACCTTGGTCAGCGTCGGGCCCGAACTTGTCACCAGAAATCCATCACGCCCCTTCAAAAAGTTAGCATATCATTGCAAGCTTTCGTACTCTTTCCGATTTACCTGCAGGGTGTATGGCCTGACGATTGCATCCGGACCACAATGGAACCGTATCTCGCTTTGAATCACTGCTCGGGAAATCTCGAATCCGGGAACAAAGTATGAGCTTAGGGCCATGAGGATAGATGATCACTTGGCTCAGTACTGTATAAGGCGAAGACAGGGCTGAATAGGAGAATGCGCGTACTCATGTCGGACCGGATCGAACTCTGGTAGCTTATTATACGCTGGCCGGGAGGAAGGTAACGGGACGTACCGAGTCTCGGACTGGGGCCGAATGGCACTCATGGCGGTGAAGCTACTCAGGGCGCCATAACGCAGTTGTGGGTTGATGTGACCGGGTTGGGCTTCTCTCAACCAGAGACAGCGCGCCTCACTGTTCGCCTTGCCCAACGCCAACAACCATTGGGCTGCGAACACCACAATAACCGAACCCGACACCACGTGTGCGCCCTGTCTTCCGCCGGCTCTGCCGCCGAACAAAACCAGCGTGATATCGGGCAGGAAAGATCTTCAACTCAATTGCGCTTTTGAAACACTCTGCCGGACTTCACATCACGCCTTCATCTGACAACTCAGCGGCCACGTCGACGGAACCCAAAGCCTAAGGGTATCGATGCATTATAACTGCTGATTTCGCCACATGCGCAACGTTCGCGCTTTGTGATCGACATATTTCTGACACCACGAACCATTTCCCCACAGTTTGGGCATACATTGCCGTAGTTCACCAAAGGGTTGGGAGTCGGATCTTGGCGGCGATCAACACACCCTGCCGGCGTCCAGGACTATCACCCGGTGAACAATTCCAATCAACGTACGAGTCCGGTGTTTTACTCGCATATGCAGCAGATAAACCACAGGAAAGATATGGGACCCTCGTGCGAGCAGAGGTGGGGTTGGCCCGGCTGATCCACCACATGTCACCCTGGTTGGTCAACGACTCGTCTGGAGCATAGGACTGAGCTCGCCTGCACGCCTTCCAGATACCCATGCTTTCGATACTGCAAGCTTTGCACTACTTCGACATATCAGAATCGACTGTAACATTCCAAAGGCATCGCATACGGATCCTAGGAAGCTTGGCTCCACCAAAAACCAGAATGAAAAAGCAAGGTGCGAGGCTTGCAGTTCTCCGTGGAGATGAAACCCGAACTGGGAACTAGTCATGATGTTTACCGGAGTGAGGCTTGCGGATACATCCGGGTTTCTGCTCTCCATGAAGATCGGGATGTCCCAGGACAGGTCCATTCAGTCGGTCCATGTGGCCCGTGCGGCAACACTTGGTCTGTGCGGAGGCGCAAGATATCTTTGAGGGCGTACGAATAAGTAGACTTATTTCTACGCAAAAAGACCTTAAACTACGCATACCCTCTTGTCGCACGTCTTGCAGCGCAACCTCTTGCAGCGTAACCTCTTGCAGCGCACAATCTTTTACGTTTATCTTTATAGCGCTCTTTTGCAGCGCAAGCCTTTTATAGCGCAGGCTCTCTTGCAGCGTAGGCTTTCTTATAGCGTAGGTTCTCTTGCAGGTAGCGTAGGCTTCTGCAGCGCAGGCTTTCTTGCAGGCAGCGTAGGCTTCCTTGCAGCGCAAGAGGTTGCACTTGCAAGAAATCTTGCGCTTGCAAGAGAGCTTATACCTATAAGAAATCTTGCGCTTATAAGAGGGCTACAAGAAAGCAGATGCGCTGCTGCGCTGCAAGAGAGCCTACGCTACAAGAGAGCCTGCGCTGTAAAAGGCCTGCGCTGCAAGAGAGCCTACGCTGCTAAAGAGCGTATATGTACGCTGCAAGAAGAGAGCTACGCTATAAGAGACGTTACGGGTACGCCCTTACTATTATTGCGCTGTTAGTGCACAGACCCAGTGTTGCTCGCACGGGCCACATGGACCAACTCAATGGACCTGTCCTGGGACATCCCGCATGAAGATCACTGAAGGGCTGAGGGAACAAGTTCTTCCTCATCTCCCCATGATGACTTCGGTAACATCATCTCCAATGTGGCCTTACCGTGCCACCGTGCCCCTCCTCCTTTCTGTTGGACAGCCTGAAAACGACCTCAGCCGACTTTCGCGTCATGGATGTCTGGCAGCAGTAGAGACTGCAAGGAAGGCACTGACACTTCTCGATCACAGGATACCAACTGCAAAGGAGAGGCATTCCACAACAGCGCCATAAACTGTCTTGGGTCGTGTCTCGCTGCCCTGCTCCATTAGCGCATACGCATGTACATCTCCGAGTACCGCTTCACTCCCTTAGCCGCTGTCAGTTCCCGAATGATTCCTGGGTAGCCGAGGAAGGTGCTGACGTGTGCCTAATCTCACGGCTCCCACGGATGAGGGGTGAGTAGTTGCCAGCTAATGACCAGATGAGAACTCGCTGGGTCCAACAGTGTCCTTTGAGTGATTAGGTCAAAGTCCCTCATTCGAGCGAGCTGATCTTGGCTGAGTTGCGCTCCTTGAGATAATGCAGCCCTGCATAGAGATAGCGCCCTTTGGCTATCTTCCCCGTAGCAGGACAAAAGGGCAACCACTCCACGATACGGTACACTGGCAAGGTCGGCGACCTCCATCTCTTGTTAGCTCCCACAGCTTGAACCAGCCTGGAATGTACGGAGCCACGTCCACCGACTAATGTCTGGTTTCGTGAATAGACTTCGGGCGAAGCGAGGCCGACTTCCTTGAGCAGCTAGCAGAGGGCTTGAAACAGAGCTGGAGCGACCTTCATCCAGAAAGAACTCGGCAACTGAACTCGTACATCAAAGGATCAGACCGGAGGAGTGCAGGAACTCTAGTTCTTCAGTAGGTCGGTTAGGTATGTCAGTCGAGCACGTACGGCTTTCGCTTTGGGCCAGGCTACCGACATCTTAAAACAGCCTTGGTGACTGGACTGCAGTGGGGTTCTTCAATCTCCAGGGAATGGATCAGCACATCATTGCGTGCCAGACCTCTCTGAGGCTTGCGGTGGAGTCGTCGACTGCCTGGCGGTATAACTGCGATTCCATGCTCGGAGGCTATGGCCATGACAGTCCAGTCTGGGTTTAATTGACTCAGTTCCGCAATGTGAACTCAGAAGCGCCGAGTTCTGGAACTTGAGAGCAGGACTCCGAGCTCTAATTGATGCAGACAACTTCGCGTTGGGGAACAAGTCGGCTCGAGGGATATTTCAGGCGAGGTCGAAATGGGAAACTACGACGACGCCAAACACGTCCTGCAGTGTTGCTGTATTGGTGTCTGTACCGTCGCTATCGAATCGTCGAGCAAAGGCATTCAATGATTAATTCTTAGCGTTGCACGTCATTCTTTCTCACAATCCGTCCGAACGTCAGATGTAGCTCCAGGAAGGGGTTGATTTAACTTTCCCAAGGTCTGACTGATTTTTGTCTCCCATAGCGTTCCACATGCAGTGATCTCTGGGTGGGGTTTGGGGCAATGAGGGGCAGCTCGAGTCCCCGAAAGATCCGAAGGGGGCAGACCCACCAACATGTGTAGTAGCTCAACACACACAACGCTGCTGCAGATGTCTCTGAGTTCTTCCCAAGTATTTCCACTGTTCTGTCTTGATTTCTCTTGCCTGAATACATTCAGCCATCCTCCAAGCCGGACGTGTTTTCCCACCAATGAGAAGCCACCATGTCTACGGACCCAAATTTCGACGAGCTCCACAAGCGTTGTGCAATGAAGAATGGCAATGCGGCGGAGCGCAGTTGGCACCGATCATGGTAAGCAGGCTCTGGCGAATGGCTCCACGGAGTTCTCTCGGGCAGGACAAGAGCTGGTCTTGACTCCGTCTGGCTCACCAAGGAGCAGCGTAGTCTGATCAACACAACATACCCATGGCGCAGGACCGTGCGCCACTCTGGCTGCTCACACCCGGAGCGCTTGTAAAATGGAGCTGTCCGAGCTGGACATACGGGAGGCCAAATTCCCCACAGCTTACTGCGACGTCCCCGCGAGTGTGTGGGTGGCTGAACACGGTCCAAAGTTGGCGAGAAGTCGGAGTTTCCGAGAGAGTTTGCCAACAAATTGGAGAAGGCGTAAGACGAGGAGAGTGTGGGGTGTGGTCGATGGAGAGTTTTGGAGATGTCGAGAAACCAGCTCCACATCACGGCGCTATGCCCGATTGGGTACTATCGCAGTTTCCCCATTCGACGTCCGTTCCTTCTATGCTATGTCATGTCGCCGTTTCTTCCGCTGCGCAATAACGAGCTGCCAAGTCAAGCCATCCGTTGGTGGCGTCTCCCCACTTATCACCCTAGATATTGCTGATGTCCACTTCTTTTTCACAAGTCATACCTTAGCCACTCAGCTGTCCCACTACATCTCGTCCTCATCCCAAGCCCAAATCCGTTCAGCTCATATCCTCTTCGATGCTGATTTAATGCCGTTCGGGTGTTCAACGTTTCATCCAGCCTGGTCTTCCTTCACCACATCAAATGTTCATGGAGTCGATCGAGGGTGCAAATGTCCCGAACAAGCCTGAAATCGTGAAAAAGGAAAAAAAATACAAGTGCAGTCACTGCCAACGTTTGTTTGCACGCTTGGAACATCTTCAACGGCATGAGCGCATCCGTATGTATGCTAGACCAATCCCCAATAGGCTACTACTCACTTCTCCCAGATACCGGAGTGAAGCCCTTTGTTTGCCGCCAGTGCCAGTACTCATTTACACGCGGGTAAGTGCGCTTCTTCATCCTGGCACAGTCCTGTGTTGTGTCGCTAAGCTTTTCAGCGATTTACTAGTACGTCACCAACGCTTAACGCATCAAATGGGAAGAGTTCAAAAGCGTCCACGAGGCCAGAGTGATGACTTCGGAGAGACACAGGAGGCTTGTGTACGTACCGATATAGGTACCGGAGTGACCCTACCAGGTATTCGCCATCTCATAAACGAGCCCCAACTGCCCCCGATAGAGCCTCGTTCGCAGAGCCCTCCATTGCTTCATCCCGCGACACGTATTCAAGGACCCTCATATACAGTTGTACAGAGAGACGTCGGCTACAAATCACTCCAGTCGCTCAGTCTGGAAGCCATTCCTTCACGATTCGGCGTGTCCCAGAACCCCGCCCTTTGTGCAGGGGGGTATCCTGTACCTCCTCATGAACATCAACAGTGTCGCCATAAAGGCGATTTACTTAGCACATGGGCAGTTTGCCATCCGGACTACTCCTTCTTGAAGGCTGATAGCAAGCCGGTGTGTGAATCTCCATTCCCGCAACCCTCTTCAATTCCGGCGCAGGGACTCCAACTAGAGGACGACTTGAATAAGGCATCTGTCCAGCAATATGACCAAGAGGCTCCGGAATGGCTTCGGGGCAGAATAGATTATCTACACGAAGGGCAGACCATATTTTTTCAAGAGCTCTTTCATCAAAGGACACAGATACAGCAATCTAGGGATGAACTTCGGGAGATTGAGAGTTATGTGCGGGATCGAGGGAATTTGAGCAGATCAGGAGATCAACAGACTATACACCACTCCAAGATGCGGGAGGACGACAGCAATAGCCACTTATCAAGCGGAAGTTCTTCAGAAGGCGTGGAAGGATTTGAAAAGGAAGTACAGAAACAGACCGAACACTCAAAACAGGGAGAAGGACAGCAGCATGCATCAAGGGATGAACCAAAGCAATATATTATCTCGCTGGGACAGTCGCGAGAAAGCGAGGGAGAGGCTGAGCTTCCTAGAAGCGGCGACTGCGCTGACGCCTCTACGGCCTCTACTTGGCTTAGAGCGCAGATGGAACATCTGTACGAGGGGCACGAACAGTCATTTTTCCAAGTTGTCATGGCAAGCTGTGAGGCCAAGGAGTTGCAGGATGAGGTCAGAAAATTGAAAGAGAGACTTGGATTAATGGGCGGAGAAGACAAGCATGGGGCTTGGACGAGTAGGTTTGAGCAAACCCTTTCTTCTTCTGATGAGAGGGCAAGTGAGAAGGGCTAAAATTTATTATGAAGTTCCAGTTCACTTCTCCAACATGTCTGCTTAAAGGACGGACATTATCACTGCACTCAAGATCTCAAGCATATATGGTTGCAGATGCCGGGTGCCAAGAGTCATGTATGCTGACACGTGGAAGTGCAGCATGACTTCTCGATCAGCAAATCAAGACGCAATCGATCTGCATGACAAAGCTACCTGACTCCCAAACAGCAAACCTTACTAGCAGAAGCTTTATTATAAGACTGAGCCCACCAGTTTCCAATGACTTTAGATCAAAGAGTGCATTGCCTGATTCAAACCAGTAGTCCAAGATCTTCTCCCCCCAATGTCAGCTTTGGACTCATTGTTCACACATGTCAGTCCCCGGCAGAATTAACCTTTGTCCATGCATCGCCATCTTCTTCAACTAAATCTCCATTCCGCCCTTGATTTTCCCTCACCTCCCTCCGCATTTCAACTAACTGCCTCTTGATGTCTCCAAAACCTTCAGTCAACTGAGCCCGCATCAAATTCATCTCCTGTCTTGTCAACCTCAACTCTTCTGACAGAGAAGGTGACCAATACCTTGACGAGTCTCTCGACAACCCCAAGCTATCTTCTCTGTTCGCCCTTCCTCCTTGGTCTTGTTGCAAGGGCTCTACTCGATCTTTCGGGGACTGTGAGCCGCCAGTTGGAATGATTTCGCAAGATTGGGATTTTGTCGGGGCAGCGTCAGTGAGACAGTAACCGTCGTGAAGATTTGATAGCCTGCGTTCGGTGGAGGCTCGTGGACTGACGTTTTGTTGAGTCATCTCGGGAAAGATCTGTAAGTCAAGCGCTCTTTGTGGCACCGAGGAAGATGACGCGATTGAATCTGTTGGTAGTGACGGCTGCGAAGGCTGGTACGCTTGGGAAGCTTGTGAGTCCTGGGAGTTCTGAGTTTGCTGAAGCGGAGATGTCTCTCGAGATGGACTGAAGCAAGGTGATAAGCGCGACCGTTTATGGGCTGTGGCTTCAAGCCCTACCAGAGGAGGGCTTCGTCTCTGTTTCAGCTCGGGTCGGCTGAGATTCGCAGAAAGAAATGACTGTTGTGAGCTTCTGCCGGATTCAGGTCGTGAAGATGGGTCTCTGATGATGCTGTCAGACAAGTCATCGTGGTCTGGACGTGAAGTTAGCAGAGACTCGAATCAACTGCGTTTTGTCGGCAGAAAGTTGGGATGCATTGAGTACGTGTATTTGCTTCCAGGTTCGCTTCATCTTCTAGGGGTTTTCTGTGCTCACTTACCCACTGACATATTGTCTTCCGGGCCAGTGAAGTATAAGCTTTGGGAACTGGCTCCTGACGAGGCTGCTCTTGGAGGGCTTGCTTCCGAGCGCGGACATTTACTTCTTGGTGACCTCGCCGCCGGAAGCCCTGCCTCTGATGGATCTTGCTCGTATACGCAAGGGTCTCTTTGGGCTGTTTCGTTGCCAAAATTCCCATCTCCTCTTTCCACCCTTGCTTTCGAGCGCTCCTGCTCCTGACAATGAGCGTTAGACCGCTCTTCGTCGAGGGATATCCCAACTGGGCCGGGTACTTCGCGGGTGTTCGACTCTTGGTTTCGTTGCTTATCCGCTGTGATACGCCTCTCGGTCCAACCGTCATAGATGCCTTCCCACTCTTCGCTTGCATCTTCTTCTTCCACCTCCTCACTTCCGATCCTCGTCCGTTCAGGTCGATATTCACGTTCAATTGGCACAGCCTCACCCTTCTTCCCTGGAACCTTTCTGAACACTTGAACCATATCAATGCTATCTAAGTTAGCATCGGCTTCCTCCACAGACAACATCAAGCAAATATTACATACCGAGTCAACAGAGAATTAGACCAGCAACGCCTAGCTTCCTTTTCCAAGTAGCCGGTAAAGGCGTCTAAGTTGCTCTCCCCTGTAAACTGCAAATCCAAATAAACACTCAACTTCGTGAGGTCTTTCTTCTCAGCCCAATCCCGACTTCTTTCGCTCTGACGCGGCTTGCCGTCCTCTTCAACCCAGCCAAGCAGTCGGACGCGCGACTCGTTGTCTGTCAGCCAGGCGTGCACGCTGCGCGGGTCGAAGCCTGTGATTGGGGCCCACTCGCGCTTTGGCCGTGAGTAGGAGACAAGTAAGAAGCAGGAGGTTGGCTCGTTGAGGGCGAGCCGGAGACCTGCAGAGAGATGAGGGTATGGGGAGGTGACGGCGAAGGTGAAGGAAGCTGCGTAGTGGAGGGGGTAATAGAGGCTCGCATGAGGGATGGGAGGGTAAGGGTGTGTTTCTGGAAGTTCAGCTGGCATTGCTGTGGTCCGGTGTGGCCGAGAACAGAATTTCAAGTGGAGTTTGTTCCAAAGGAGATGGAAGAACTTGGAGAATGGTGGAATGAAACCCAAGGCGCCTCTTCTGAAACACATATCTTGTTTGTTTTGTTGATTACGTCAGCCTTCTTCGTGGTGTTGCGAGGGAAGCCACCTTCGCCGTGTAGACCGCTATCTTTTCACTGCTTCCGACACGCCTCCGATCTAAGACTGACACCGGTGGTATATACCTCAATAGTGGCATACGGCCGACGTTGGAATTCCAACCTACGACAGGAGCACTCTGGTGTCGCTTCCTCTAGTGTCGGCATCGTGCTTTCCCATTCTCCTCCCGAGTTCAGAAACAGACATGATGCATCCGGGCGTCCTACAGCTCGCACCCACTCACACTATCATTGCGCATTTGTGATTCACGAGAACCACTCAATTTTTATATACTGAAAGAACATTCTTTAGGGTTTATTGTCATGTCAAATCACAATACGCCTGGATCAGGCGAAATCGGACCTCCGTCCCCCGACTCAATTGCCTCGACACTGGGGCCGACAGAAGACAAGCCCCCCGCGCGCGGGCGTCACGACTTCCTACACTATCATCTCATTCGACCTCCACCAGAGACTGTGCTCGAGGAAGTCCACTGCAACATCTGCTACGAAGACTACGACGCTATTCACCCCGCCAGGCAGGTGAACGGCACGTCCGGATGTCGGCACATATTCTATGAGAACTGTGTTCGGATGCACACTTCGAGCTCTCCACAGCCCAATTCATGCCCATATTGCAAGCGGGAATGGT